TTCCCTGAGTTTTGCACCTGGCAAACGTGACTTCGCAAAAGTCTTTGTTCTTTGTTATCCCACGTCCTTCTTGTTCCTTATGCGTTTGTGTCCTTCTGTTGTCGTTCTTTGTGGATCCTTCTACTACTTCTTGATCTGTTTGTTTATCTTTCCACCTGGATCCAAAGAACCGCCAGTTGTTTGATTCCCTGAGTTATGTGTTTGTGTCCTTCTCTCGTCGTTCTTTGCGCATCCCTCTACTACTTATTCATCTTTATTTTCCTTTTCACTTGGTTGTTTGGTTCGAAAGTATTCTTGTGCACCTGGCCAAAGTATTTAGCAAAAATGTGAAATGTGTCTTCCTTCCTTCTCTTGCTTGCTCCTTTCTTTCCAAATACCAAAACTCAATTCAAAATTGCTAGACTCCAAGTTAAAGCACGCGTGCCTGTGGCCCTTCTTAACTGATTCACCGAGTTCGTGGCGGCAGAGGGTTGATTCACTGAGTTTCTGCCAGCAAAAGGTTGAAGTTGTTGATTCACTGAGTTTGTGTCGGCAGAGGGTTGAAGCTGTTGATTCACTGAGGTTTTGGCGGCAGAGGGTTGATGTTGTATATCGCATGGCACTTTCTTTCTTTCTCCCTCTCCCTCTCTCTCTCTCTCTCTCTCTCTCTCTCGTTGATTTTTTGGATTGAAAGAATTGGAAAAACAACATCGGGAGTTCCCGGAAGTGGGCGGCATGGCCGCACACTATCCGGGGAAGCTGGCAGGTGGTCCCCGATGAGACGATGCCGATCGGGAGTTCCCGGAAGTGGGCAGGGTGGCCGCACACTATCCGAGAAATCTGGCAGGCGGCCCCCCGCAAAAAAGCAGATTGGATTCGGATGAAGAATACTGAAGTTGATTAAGGGAAGAGCGTGATTGAATGATTGAAGCAGAGAGTGAAGTGTACCGCTAGTCTTGAGTCTTGATTGAGAGAAGTAATAAATCAGTTAATAGGCTTACTACTTACATTTAAGCAGCATGTGTGCTGTTGGCCCCTCTTAATTCACCAAGTTTGAGGCGGCAGAGATTGTTGTACATTGTATATACAAGTATACATATATATATATATATTTCTTTTTCGCAGAGTTCCTGGCGGCGGAGGTGTGGTATTGAACGCTTGAATGTTGTATGGATGGAGGTCATCCAATTTGACCAGAGGCTGCGCTCAACTACAAGGAGTCTAAGAGTGGCAGCGTGCGGTCGCACCAGAGCAGAAGCGCCAGATGGACGATCTACAACTGTCATGGCCAGCTCTTCATGGTCCTGCTATTGGACGCAGACAACAATGGCGAACGGAACAAACTTCTGAGCGTCCGCCGGGCCATCTATGTCGATGCCAACTGGAGCCACTAATCACTATAAGGATCAGCTGCGTGCTGAGCCTTGCGGCCATGCAATACAAGGCTGCAATATCTCTGTTGATGACGGCTGAGGATGCGGCCAAAGATATGAAGGCGAGGACGCTACGGCATCATCGGCGCCTTGTGGAGAACTACTGTATGTTCGCTGGTGGCCGAGTGTTCCACGTCCAGATGGCTGGCGGCCGTGCCGTCAATATTCTGGCTGGCTTACCAGAACTCGCGTCTGACAGGTCGGGGGTCACTGCATTGACAGCAAACCTCTACCGCGGCAAGGTGGTTCCTCACGAAGGGGGCTCAACCTTGCACACTGACTCAGGATTGTGGTTTTCAAAGGGTGAGGGAAATAAGACATGCAACATTTTACGTTATATTTTTGGTTTTTCTTAATTTCTACAACGTTTGACAAACACAAAGTTTACAAGGGGGCCTTGATCCCATCAACCCTTATTTCCCCGGCCCCAGGTGTTTCCTTTTAGCCATGATTTTAATCCCTTATTTCCTTGACTCGTGAAATTTGACAGATATACTGCCAGAATATATGCAAACATGTGCAAGAAAGAATGACAGAACAGATTCCCAAAGAATGTCCGAAAGTATGCCGCATAGAATGCCAGATTCTCCAGGAAGAATGCCAGAACATTTGCCAGAAGAAATGCCGGAAAGGTGCCAGATAGAGTGCAGGAATATGTGCCAGATAGAATGCCTGAATTTGTGCCAGTAGATACGCCAGATGGACACTTACTTGGTGATGTTGAAGCAAAAAAGCCGCCGCATATAAGAAAAGTGTGATGCCATGAGGGGGTCGCTCGAAGTAGAGTAGTTTTTTTTCACTCACTTGACTTTTCACTCTTTGACTGCTTTGCCGTGTGTAACACAATTACAAGTCCAAACCCGCAAGAAAGACAACAACAGCAAGCAAAAAATGGCAAGACAAAATGCTTGTATAGTCTCCTGGCTCAGCCTCTGGCGGCTCTGGCACTTCTTTGCCAAAAAGTTTCGGCTTGGTGCTTTCCAAGGCTCAGCCAAACTCTTCAAGCTCAAGTCAGGACCTGAGAGTTGCCGTATAAGTGTCAGTATCTCGCAGTGTATGTGGCATAAAAATTAACGTATTGGTAGGACTCTGAGTTTCAATCCAACAGTGGAGATGGAACATGCGCTTGTTCTATTCGTTCTGCTACCTTGCTGTGGTTGGAGAAGCATGCGCAACAGGGGCGCACTTCAAGCAACATTTGTTCCTGCATCTAGCCCAATTGTCATTTTGTTGTGTTGCAATTTGACTTGTGAAAAACTTTGAAAGTGACTGCGCCTGGCGACCTTGTGCCTGTGGTCAGTCGGATGGTTCACACTCACGCACAGATATTGGTAGGTATATACGTATACATGTATATTTGCATATACACAAAAAGATAGTAACACATGACCATAAACATTGAACAGACAAGACTCGACACACAAATTGTTTGTACCAACCTATGGTGTATGACATTATATTATATACACGTGTGAATTTGCAAATGCACTCTCTTCGGGCAACTTTTCGATCACAGAGGCGCTGGGGAGACCATGAGTTGCATTGCATACAAGTTGTCCTTGTTTTGCAATGCGCAGTATCCGAACATTCCATGTACTGTAAAGTAACATGTTTTATATACACTTGAGGTAGTTCGCAGGACCTAGTGTACAGGCCTTAGTTACTTTCCTGTCGTTGCTTTGTTCGGTGTGGTTTGCCGTTGTGTCAATTGTGTCATTCTGTTCAAGCCAAAACTTATTGCAACCTGTGCAGGCTTTTCATTGGTTGTGAATGTGTGTGACACTTCTTTGGATTCAACTGGCGCCCAGGCTTTGGCAGCAACAGCAGCAACAGCAGCAACTGTACCAGCAGCAGCAACAGCAGCTTGTGGACCGGAGGTTGTGGCCACAGAACCGTCGCTTTATGGAATGCAGTACTGTAAATTCATGGATGTTTGGGCCTCCCCAGCGTAAGTTCATGGATGGCCTCCAACCTACTACATAGCAATGGCCTGCAACCTAAGAGAGATGACCAAGGATTTTTTTGGATGTGGTTTTTCCAAGGTATGACTTCCGCCTGAATTTCGGCAGTGGCCTTGACGTGAAGCGGCGGGAACATTATCTAGGAGAAAATGTGTAGGACCTTCATAAAATGCGCACCCAAGAATGACTAGCCTCTATTCAAATATGATAAACCTTTCGCTAAAGGCAAGAGAATGTTTGCAAACCACATTTATATAACGCCTAAAGGCCCAATTGAAGACTTTCGCTGGACTACCATACACGCGTTGTGTCATTTACTATTTGTTTTGTCAACCTTCAGGGCATGAGCTTAGGAAGTCCTGGAGGTCCTTGTCCTTCTCAGATGGGCATGGCACTGCTGTGAGCTCATGGGTCGAGTCATTGTGTTGATATGAAGGCTACATATCAGGCATCCCCAGGAGATGCTTCACCAGTTTTTCACTGAACACACTGGATTGCAATGTCCATTCTTTTCAGATTCGCACGTGCAAGAAAGGTTTGTAATGTGCAGAGTGCAGGTGGTTTTGTTGCCCTTTCCCCTATATACATGGAGCATCATGGAGCACTAGAGCTGCAGTGCTGTGAAATTTGCCCATGTTGACCCGGAAGCAGCCATCGCTTGGTGTAAGGCAGAGCGGCTATCCCGCTTTGTCGGCGGATGCTCAGGCTGGACGATCAAACACTGGACATGGGTCGAACAGACCTGCCTCAAGCAACCGCCTGCAGCTGGATACAGGTCGGGAATGCCGCCCCAAGCATGGCGCACTGGTCTTGGCACTTTTGACCATGAAGAATGCTCGGTAAACACATTTTGGCTGTTTTGGTCCTTTCGACTGTTACTGCACTAGCAGAGCATACCAGAGCTAAAGAAAAACGATATGAATAGAGAGGTTCAACAAAGGACCTCAGCTCTGGAGGCTAAATCCAGAAAGCTCTAGAGAAGTACCAAACATTGGTCGTGTGGTTTGCGCACTGCTCATGTTTGATGGGTGCCCAATTGTTGTAGGGTTTTTGCTACGGGACCGCCGACCCCGGGTGAAACGTTGCAACGCAGGAACACATACTTACTCAAAATGTGAATTTTTTGGAACACGAAGCCAGCACAGCGCTTTCGCGGCACAGGTCCCGCTGCCCACTTATACACGATTGCCCCCTCCAAGAGATCGAAAGACCGCCGTTTGTTTTGTTTTGGCGCGTCTTTTTTTGCAACTGGGAAGACCGCAGCTAGAGCCTTCCGATGTGATGATGTTCGAATCTTGGGTACCCTCCCGAGTCCCGAATGCCCGAGAAAATCGTTCTTGGGCTGTGGCCACAAGGCGCACACAGTGGGGTTTTCAAGCACCGTCAGGGCGTTCAGCACAGCGAAAAATGCGTAAACTGCATTGCCACGGAAGGACCAGGGGGGAACCGACCCCCAGGCCAAATCCTGGGCAATCCTTCTCGCAGGAAACATATCAACGGCATCAACGGTCTGAAAGCACTTTTGTTTTGTGTCAACTTTAAAACAACTTCTTGGTACAGTGCCGGGTGACTGACATCGCCCAGTGCTCACCGGAATCCCCATCAAAAAGACATCGTTTCCGGGCATTCACGTTCATGGTCCTAGAATGTCCTAGGGTTGGCAGATCTTTGGATCAGTTTGGAGAGCGCCAAGGGATGTGGGCAACATGGAGGGCATCCAGGGTTGGTGTTGATCCGAGGCCGACTTCGCAGACTGCGTGCCAGGCACAGGGGAAACAACATATACATCGCAGCATGAAGCAACCAACCGTAACCAACCTTTAAGACTTGTCGAAGGTATGCCGGCTAGCGGCTAGAAATCCCAACTTGTGTCCAACCCAGGGAGTTCCTCTGTCGAACCTGATGCAGTTGGCAGTTAGGCCTTGGCAGCGGTTTTCACAGGCACCCTGGCCTGGCCACAAGTCCACAAGCCACACAAATTTATCATGGCTCCGGCCCATATGCTCTCACTTCCAGCCCGGGCCTGTTTCTTCAGGTCCGGTGTTTTACGTTTCCGACCTCAATTCTACTTCTGGGAATCCTTTTCGGTTGCCCACCTTGTGCATGGAACCAGCCGCGGAGGTATGTATGTAACAATACAATAACTATAATGTATAACACAATGCAAGGGCACTCGCTGCTGATTTGTAGGATCATAGTTTATCACACTTTCACGGCTTTGCTCAGTGCAATGCTGGCGCGGTCCCACTCAAAGTGTCTACACTGATCAAGTCTTGTCTATGTATATATGCTACTGTGTAGATGCATGCAGGGAACATTGGCTAATAAGATTCACGACAGCCAGGCTGCACCCATTTCAAGTCTTGTCCTCAGTCTATTGGGTGCTTTGAAAGATCAAATGACAAAATGCAATAGCTAAAGCCGTCCCGAATCTGAAGCGCAACCTGTACCTAGCTTGTGCCCAGGTGCAGCAAATGACACATCGCCAGCCAGTGTGACAGCCTCAATCTCTCAATCTCCAGTTCAGTCTGAGACCAGCCTCACAAGGAGGCCCAGCTTGGAGAGGTCGATGTTGCTAGTCAGTTTAAGTTGACCGTGTAGCAATGCACTAAGGCCAAGGAACAGCAGCAAGGGCAGGTGCCCAAGCTTTTGCAGTTTATTGACCGACGCAGTGCACGCGTTTGGTGAGTATATCGATTGACAATATATGGATAGTATATACACTCTACTGTGCATGTATATATACGTGTGTATATATATATATATATATGATGTGCCCCATTGCTCATCAGATGCCTTCAGATGCTCAATGTTCCATGAAGGTAGCAGCATTTCGTCAAATTTGGTAGCTCAATGTAGCTCAGGCAATGGAGCAAAGGCTCTGCTGGTCACGACAGAGGGGCCTGTCTTGAGCCAAGATATGCAGCACACCCTGGTCAGAGATGCAGAATACGCTTAGAGATGCATCGAAGACCCAAGAGTTTCAACATGCACTTCCCTTATACAATTATGTGGTTCCACCAATGGAGACGATATGAGACGATATGTTGAGACACTTGCCCGGATGTTGGCGGAGGTCGGCCATGCCACTATTTTCATTCTCGGCCCGGGAGCTGAGTTTGAATCCCTTGAGTGCAATACAGACAGATGTTGGACGGTGGGTCATACACCCATGGCTTTGCTAATTAGACAAGTCAGACAAGTCAAGAAAATCAGTCAGGGTCGCTGGGCACCCTTGCAGATGGACATCATGGAATGCATTATCAATCACTATCATACCATGCAAAGAACAAAGACGCTACTAGGGGATCCTGGCCTTACTACTAGGAGCAAGAAGCTACTAGGGGCTCCTGGCTTCACAACTAGGAACAAGGATGCTACTCGAACAAAACACAATTATACAATAAACGTAACGACCTCCATACCATGCATGTGTTCTCGATTCTTTGAGCTACCACCCCGCTCGCTGGAAATTCCACGGTCCGAGTTTGCCAGATTTACCCAGCAGGGCCTAACCAGCAGCTATACAGACCTGAGATCAAAACCAGTGTGTGTCCCCTGCCATGACTTCTCACTCGACAGAATCTCTCGAATTGGACCTCTCATGAGGACTGGCTGCGCAAATGGCGATCAGTGTTTGTTCTGCCACCTTAAACATGCAAAAAGGCCAGCACCGGATAGGGTAGCAGGGTGCCAGCCAGCTGGAAGTTCACAATGCAGATTCGGGATTTTCTCCTTTGATTTGCTTTTTTGTCTCAGCTGTTGGACACGAATCAGAGGATTCACAAACAGTTTTTCAGGGAAGTACCTTGACTTATTTTCATATTGCTGTAATTATGCCCTCCAACATGCATCCCAAAGATGGGCATGTTTGGAGAACAGCCACTGTAATGGAAACAGTTCATTGCCTGACGCATGAAACGGATATCCAGCTGAATGGCCAGGTCGAGAATGAGAATCCCAAAGCACTACCGACAGCAATGCCGGGCTTTGGCACAGTTTCTCGACCCAAATGCTTTATTTGCACAATCCCGTCTCAATGCTTTGTGCGTGCAATAAACCAGCTGGATGCCTTGTTTTAACACAGAAACGCTATATGGGCAACACCCCTGCATTCAGCATTGCTTGCTGTACGCATCAGATCTTTGCTCACTACCTTCAACGCTCTCTAAGGTTAGTGTTTGACACGCAGGGGTGCGAAGAGGTGGCTTTGAGAATCGAGAACGGACACAGAATCACTGAGAGACCCTGGCACAAATGTCTTTGCCAGTCCTCAACTGCCCCGACTTCCAACGAACTCCCGCAATGCGCAGTGGGTTGCCCTGAAGGGCGGGTTGGCTTTTGCTGTCAGCCTGAAATGCAAGCTAGTCTATTTTTGTTTGTTTTTCTGCCCTGGACCCGACACTTGCACTGTACAAAATCAATTGGGCACCCAGACACAGACCGGTGTTTTTTCAAGACTGCAACATAGAAATTGTCGTAGGAATATCACGTGACCTGTAGCTCAAGCTTGGGGTTGCTTGCAGGAGATCAGAAGGGAGATGGAGTTACAGCTTCTGGTGTGGCGGCTTGTGATGATTGGACGTGCAAGCTGCTGATGGATTCACCCTTGAATGGAGATCGCATGAAGTGACTAGTTTGTTTTTCAAAAGAACACCAGACAGTTATATAAACACATACTATTTAGTCAAGGATGCAATGCTATTGCCCACTCCTGATTAATTGTTCCTCTCGGATTAGCAAGAACAGAGCGGATCAGCTGGGTCCAATTTGCATCAATTTGCTTTCATGGATCGCCATATGTGTTTCAAAAACAGCCTTGGCGCAGATTCAGACCAGCTTCGACCATCGGCTAACAGCGTGCCCGGGGATTTTGCTCACAGAAGGTCAAAGGCTTTCCTGCAGAAAGATGTTATCAAAGGATATCAAACGTGTGTATACTGGCGCTCGCCAGTTTAGTTACGTCCAGTCTATGTACTGAGACATGGCTCAAACCATGGCTCGAATAAGCTGCACACAGGTGGAGATCAATATGACATGACAGCCATGACAGCGTTGTTTTGCTAACGGCGTCGTTGGCGATCCTCTTAGTATTGCTTGAATACTTTCAGACCCGCATTGGGGTGTGGGTGCGGGGATGGGCAGGGTAGTATTGATGTTTGTTGTGAGTCAAGTCGTCGTGATTGCACATAAGATGATGCTGAATCATGATTGGTATCATGAAAGGACTTGGGCATTTTTTTGCGGCAGGATGCACTTGTGCGTAGAGACGTGGAGATGCGCGTCTCAGAAACTGAAGCCCTCACGGACATGCCGGACATGCAACCAAAGTGCACATTTCCTGCTGTTGCTTGGGTGCCTTGCTCTCCTGCAAAACATGGCCGCTTTCTGGCCATGTTTGACAACGTTGTCATCGATTTCACAACATTGTTCTGAGTGGCGCAACTAGGTTTTGGCAACGCTGCAACGCTGGGGGGAGGGCGCTTCAGCCAAGATAAGGATGCTCTTTTGGGAGTTCTGCCAAGATGATGCTACGTGCCAGCACAAGGAAGATGTGGGTTGGGGTTTAGACCTGTCCATTTCAAAGGTTCTTCTTTTTGAACATGCCTTAAAAGTTGCCTTCCGTGAAAAGTACAAACTTCCACTATGACAGATTATGACAGCCAAAACCCCACAGGTATTGTTCACACCCAGACGTTTTCTTTCCTTGTACCGTCCTTTGCGTAGCCCACCCTGTGGCCTGCGTAGCCTTTGTGTATACACCTCCGGGGAACTACCTCAGCGAGGCGACATTACAGTAATCATTACAGTCCGTCTAGCCTTTGTACAGCCAGCCTGCCTTTCGTGTATACGGGGTGGGCAACCCAAAGAGAATTCACAACACTATGAAGCTCTCCTAAAGCATCCTAAAATTGTTACTGCACATACACGATTTAGGTCATTGCCATGACTGCCAAGAAGGCAGTTGATTCCAATGATTCAGACGGGGCATGGGACCTGAGTCTTTTGGAATTGATGAAGCAACATCAAATCACCGAACAAAAAACAACTATATGCTAATGATTGCCAATGATTGAGGCACCTTCATCTAACATTTAGAGGCACCTGCACCCTACGAATAACAACGTCAGCTAGTGGATTGTCAAACACGCCGTGTCTAAAAGAGAGCACACTCCCAAAAAGCAGAGACTATGGAGTCAGACCTGGATAGAAGGACAGCTTTTGCAATTGTGTTAGTTTTGAGTGAAAGCTTGCAAAACCATGCTCTTCCCAAAAGGGCATACAAAAGGGACTATACTATACAACTGCTTCTGTGATCTTATGCAGCATGCATGTATTCGGGTGCGCGCTTTTGACTTCAATGTGCTGTCTTCAAAAACATCAAAATACCTCCCACTCCCACCTGCTTCTGTTTGATGCATTTGTTCGTTATTGGGTGCAGTATTTTTGCTTCAAGGCATCAGCATTCTACATTTATATAACTGAAAGCTGCGCCCTTTGAAAGATGTATAGACTGTACCTTCTTGATTGCTTTTGAATTGCACGAGATTGTCCCTTGCATTGCAGGCCAGCAAAAGTTCTACTTGCAAAACACGTTTCAATACATGTGTGCATTTGCTGCTGCGTATACAATGCTCCCCCGCATCACCAACACATTCACCAGCTATATAACTCATTGCTAAAGAATGCGGTCCAAAAAATGTCTCGTCTCGCACTTGAAGAAGTATAGAGATATGATATACATAAATTAATGCTGTTTTTCTTCAAGCAATAAGGTTGTTTCAAAGAAGGTAGTTTCACTAATGCAAATTGCCTGTATAGATTGTAGAGGAGGAAACATGTCATGTCACAAACAATGCAATGCGTTAATAGGAGTATCTGAGCAGACTGTTCGATATAGGACACTGCTTCAAATTCTTCAATTGATGAATTGTTAGGATGCAGGATGATGGGACCCTTACAATGGAGCACATGTCATGTTCATGAAAATGTATACCTAGAAGATCCTTTCGGCAGAAATTCTTGCCTTTTTCGGGAAGAGCGGCTCTTACCGTCCTGGGGCGGAAATCAACGTTTTGCCCGCGGACATTTTCCCTGCGCGCTGAGGTTTGCGGTGATCGTTGTGAGTGGCCGGATCTGATGCTCAAGTGTTCCAATGTGGCAACCCTTTGCTGCAGGCGCCGCATGGGCTTTGGCGTTGGCACGGGGTTCTAGTGGGCCCACTGAGTGCCATTGCACCTGCCGGTGTGAGCTGCCTGATTTGTCAGGTGGCTGGGGCTGGGAGTTGGTTAAAGCGACATTGTGGTTGGCTTTGGGGATCATCTTTCAAGTGTGCCAATTGGTACCCTTCTTGCTCCGGCGGATTTGGCCCGTGATTTTTTTGGGTGACCACGGAGTGAAGGAGGTGGGAAAACCTAGTTGGGTTGAATGACTTCGGAGGTGGGGTTGCGAGCCAAGGAACAGATCTTGGCTTTGAGGGCACGCAAGTGAGATGTCTCTGCAAGAAGGCACCCGGGTGTATGTTTGTTATGATCTACCTCCTCCTGCTCTTTGGCATGAACGATATATACTTGCCAGGCGTGCTTGCGGTCAAGGTTGTCACATTGTTCTCACCCCTATCCAGAACAAATTTCATTGGAAAACTCTGATTTGGCTGGGCTTCGTATCGGGGCGGGAAATGTTTTGCCATACGGCTTGGACCAGACCAACACCTACCACATCAGAGATCTCCCATCTGGGGCTGAGATGGCCCAGATGAGAGTCGATGCTCGACACGCTGCAATGGCCATGGTGGTGACCCCTGGTGTGGCAGTGGCACAAGGTGGGGCTAAGTTGTGGAGCAGTGCAACCAGCTGTGGGGCAAGCGGATGCAGAAGGGTCGAAGTGGGTTGTAGCTGAAACTGATGGGGGCCGCGTCCGAGGTGATCATGTTGTCTTGGGTGGTTCAGAGGTTATCCATGGAGATGTCGGACTCAAGTCACACGAGGGCAAAAGGTATGCCATCAGACAAGAAGCTGCTGCGGATGCCAGACTTCTCGGTGTGTCTTTTCAGGACATATCGCGCATCGAGAGGGGTTTGGCGAGACGTTGCAAGTGAGATGACCCAGGAATCCCTTGACGACTGGAATGTGCCGGGCCCGAGAACAGCCCATTGGTGCTCGCAGTTTCTCAACCGTCGGAATGGAGGACCATCAGAACACCACCGGTATTGGGTTTCCCATAATGATTAATGGTTTGACCCCGGACATGTGGGGAGTGGTCGAACATGAGAACTTCATGAAGATGCTGGATAAGATGGGCAGGTTTGATGGACTGACTCGACTTCTCTTGATCGAATACTTCTACTCTGACAAAGGTCCAGGTGGGGGCAAAGGGACGGGGAAAAGCAAAGGGAAGTGCAAAAAACATGAAGTCTTGTCCTACAAGGCCGAGGCCGCCATATTCACTGGAACTCATCGTGAATATGGCGATGTTATGGTCGCCCCAGATCTCCTCGAATATGTCTCCAAGGAAGTTGAGCGAGATGCCGCCGTTCTCAAGCAGGTCAGGAAGGCCAGAGAGGAGAGCTAGTAAGTAGCCATTCCATTGGGTGGATCAGCGCACTGGACCTGATCCATTTCTGCTGCTCCGCTTGGTGGGGTGGTCCCTACTTTGTCTTCAATGACCCCTTCAAAAAGTTTGAGTTTTGAGTCAGGGCCGAATGTCAGGAACCGTGGAATCTTTCCTTTGCCGGTCCCACCTTTGAAGGCTGGCCTTGACGAATCCGTTTTTTGCGGGTCCACTCGTCGGAAGCATCTCATGCACAGTCATGCTGATAAGTGGGTCCATGACATGGTTTGCACGCTGAACAGTATGCACGCTGGTTCTGAATTCGTGGCGACAAATTTTTCTTCCCCTCCTAAAGCCAACCTGTCACAACAACTTGTTTTGGGTAGGCTGAGGGATTCTGTGTTTCAACTGGGTAAGCCGCCTAGCAATGTTGATGGCCAGGGAGCTCTTTTGGAGCTTCAGGCCGGTACGGGCTACACAGGTGAATCTTTGCCTGCCAGCCTCGCTGGGTATTTGGTGGCGATCCCTCGTCTTTGGATTCCATCTTAGGACCTCAGGCTTTAATTGTTTTGAATACCTTGCGCCATAAGCTTGTATCCCCTGGAGTTGCGAAAGCCAGGATTTTGAATAGTGCGCTAGAAGCCTTATGTTGATCCGATTTTGCAGCATCATGAAGTCCGTTCATGCTGAATTTGTCACTCGGCTCTCTCGGGCCAACTTGAAGGAATTTCGGATGGAGGCGCGGGAGAGTGTTGGAGTATTTTTTGTGTGGAAGAAATCTGGCAAACAAAGAATGATGATCGCTACACGAAGATCGAACTTTTTGGTTTGACACCCCTCAAAAAGTTTCTCTTGCTACTGGGAGTGCGATCGCTAGAATACAAGTTGATGCGGGGCCTCCTGTACAAGTGGGTGGCGGAACTTGAAGCGCGGACCACCGCCAGTAGTGGATGCGACCAAGATGGAAAACCTAACCTTATTGGAAACCAAGAACATCTCCAAGAGCCACAGCAATTCGTACCAGAAGGCATGGGCCGACTTCCAGAAGTTTGTGAGGACCAACAAAATCAAGACTGCCACCTTGAGCCAGCTGGATGCAGCAGCCGCATGGTGGGTCCACCAGTTGTGCTTCACAGGAGAAGATGTGGCGTCGGTGATGGCGTTCATGGCCTCAGTGCTGCAGCACAGGAACGATGTCGTCAAGATGGCGTCCTTGACAAGGGCAATGCGGTCTTTGAAAGGGTTCAAGAAGATGGCCCCTGGGCAAAGCCGAGTTCCCTTGCCTTTTCTGATGTTAGCCAGGATTGTCGAGTACGTTGCACAGACCACGGACGAGTGCATGGTCTGCGTGTGGATGCTGATGACTTGGCGCATCGCGGGGCGGCCAGAAGAGATGTTGAAGCTTCAGTGGCAGCACATTGTGGCTCCCAATCGGATCAACCCCACTTGGTCAGTGATCACGTCCCCTTCATCAGCAGAGGAGGGAAGTCATCAGCCTTCAAAGATTGGCGAGATGGACGGGAGTGTCGCTCTCGACATGGAGTTTTCTTCAATGCATGAAACCACTCTTAAAAGTCCTGAAGCAGCAGCGTCACCCCCAGGAGCCTGTGTTCACGTTCCCCCTCGCCAAGGCCAACAAGCTGTTCAACATGGCTGTAGATCACCTGAACTATCGAAAACACGGCGTCCAATGCCCCTACCAGCTGAGGCACGACGCAGCGTCCACAGAAGTGCTGCGTCGAAGACAGCCATTGGAGGAAGTGATGAAAAATGGCAGGTGGAGGACCTTGGTGTCAGTGAGGCGATACGAGCAGGGCGGCTGACTGGCACAGGTGTTCGAGTTCGGGTTACTCACAGAGGCCGAGCAGAAAAGGTGCTTGACGCAGAGCGAAGTTCAGCCCAGCTCTTGGTCTGCTCTTTTGGATGCAAACAGCCCCACCTGGCTCGATTTTCGTGGAACTCTTTGCAGGCGAAGGGGGCATCTCGAAAGCGGTCAAGAGAGTCATGAAGGGCAAGATCACCTTGTGTAAGTTGGAGCCGAGCTCGACGGCATGATGGGAAAGGACCACCTCCACTTGGGGCCTTTGCGGCCTCTCCCACAGTCTTTTGTACTCCTTTCGGGTTTTCCGACTTTGTCATCGCATGGGGATTCCTGTCACGTTAGAAAATCCTTCTACTTCTCGGATGTGGCGGGTTAAGCAGATCTCACAATTGATGTTATGCTCTGGAGTTAGATAGCTCAACAGTGACTACTGCCAAGACGGAAAGCCTTGGCGCAAGCGCGCTGGGCTACTCTCTTCAGGTGTCGACCTGCTTCCAGCAGTTCGCCAGTGTGAATCCGAGAATGGGGTTTGCAGTTTTTCTGGTCGCAAACATGTGCAATTAGTGGGGCCACACAATGGTCAGTTTTGAACTTTAGCTGCTCAACCTTATCCTCATGGGCTTTGCAGAAGGGTTGCTGTTGCTTATTCGCATGCTATTTTCGATTACTGGGCACCGCCTGTAATGTGTGTCATCGGCTTCAATCCTTGATTTCATCCTCTCCATCCGAAATTGAGAATGTTCAGATCACATCCTGGCCAGAGACATCATGGGTTCGGGTGCAACTTCCACTCTATTTGGCATTCTCTCTGCTGACTTTCAACTTGACAGCAGAGATGTTTTCCGAAGTGCGCACCTCGATATAGATCGTCTCTGGCCACGGAAGGAAAGATCGAGAGCATGTTTTTGTAGCCGCGAATTTTCCCTTTCAGGAATCTAGTCAGACAAAGTATACTAGCGGACTGAAACTTAGAATGCCGGCCATTTTTCCAAACAAAACTCGCGAATAACTTAGAATGCCTGTCCCATTTGGGATTTAGAATGCCTGCACATTCCTGTATACAGCCGGCATTCTAAGTTTCAGTCCGGAGTTCAAACTCTGGCACTCAGCTCGCTCCTTTTTCCCTTCTTGTCCCAAGGCCGAGGCCGGTTTCTGCGGTTTTGTTGGCACATGTAAAACAAAGACCTGTTCTGTAACCATAGATTATATATATATATACACGCTTCTTTTGGACATATCAAATACATTCAAATACACTATATATATATATATATGCACAAGAGTCTGCTCTTCCTCTTTTCTTAGCCGAACATGAGAATTGAAATCAAGTATAGTGTCAAACCTTACAATTTTTGTTGAACCTGGTGCGGGGCATTCTAACTCTACGAAACACCGCGCCTGTCAGCAAATCTGGTAGGTGGGCAAGAAGTGGGGGCAGGCATTCTATCTGCACGACTCACTGTATTTTACAGGGTTTTTGTTAACTTTTGGAGCTTTCACGGGGTTAGGGGAGTCATTTTGTTTCCTTCTCGTTTTTCCAAATGGGCATTCTAAGTTTCAGTCCGCTAGTATATATATATATAGATTCTAGAGGAGTTGAATATCTTCAGTGGTTTACATTGGGCATTTCTCACTGGAATGGTCCCTCCATTAAGAAAATAAAAATTGCGACACTTAAGTTTCCACCTCCACCATTTGGTTACCGTCATGTCATTTATGTGGCTTTGTTTTTGAAGGTTTCTTGTGTGGTATGGGCACATACGGAGTAAAACCAGTCCAAAGTTGAAAACACCTGGCGCGAAAATGCCCGGCAAAAGGCGGAAATACCCGGGAAAACGGCAGAAATTTCCTGGCAGAAGGCAGGATTCAAAAACAGTGCCTTTGAAGGGCTTGAACAAATGTTGCAGCCTCTTTGTGAACGTCGTGAATATTCATGAATTAAGAAGTGTCAAAATCGTAGGGTGTGAGATCTTGACATGTGAAACTATGTGAAACCATGTCCTTGCAGCACGATATGTGGTATGCAATCATGGAAGAGAACCTGGTCGGTGTTGGGCAGTGGTGATGGTTTTTGTAAGGCTATGTTGAAATTTGCTCGCGGCAAAAATTCCCTGCTGGCCGCGGAAATTCCTGCCTGGCGCGGATTTCCCCTCCGCGAATCCTCCAGGCAAATCGGACTGAGGCGGAAATTTTTGACCCAGGTGCTGCTAGGTATAGCTGCGCCGCAACAACTTCCACACGCGCACTACCACGGAACATTCAAACTATGTCCACAAGATCTACAATCTACGCGTAGACCCACAAAGATTGCAGAAGCTCGAGGCCCCGTGTCCCTTGCGCTCTAAGAATTCGCAGCTCAACAAGTCATTGCTTAGTCCTGGCCAATTTGATTGGGTTGCTGCCCTTGGCTGTCACTTGTATGATTGTACATTGCTGTGTGTGACATTATTCGTTTGTGTGGCGACTTGCCGATCATCAGTCCTGTGCTGCTGGGTTTTGCTTTGTGAGTACAGACGTCAAGAAGAACAGCGCAGTTGCATCATGGAGAACTGTCCCCTTGCTTGTACCACACTAGATAACTCCAACAAATAGTTTGCATTGGGACTCTTTGTTTTGTATGCGGTTTGCAGTGGTTCATTCAGTTTTGCGAATGCGCTCCACAATCCCCAATGAGCACAAGTTAGACATCCTTTTTTGTCCATGCGCGTGACATGCATCCAAACATTGTAGATTCACTCCGGGTAATATGTACACTTTTGCCATGTATAGGTTGTGTACCCAAAACAGGTGTTGCAGCTTAACGGCCGTTTGTATTGGTTATCAGCCACTGCAGTGGCGGCGGCTGGAGCCAAAGAACCACTGCTCAAATGCCTGAGACAAAGAAGCCACCTGTACATGCCTGGACCCAGTGCTCCGGCTGCTGAGGCATGTACACCGACTCCGTCGGCAAGGGCCCCAAAGCCACCAGAGCTTGCTGGACCACCTCCTGGGAAAGCCGTCATCACTGACGAGCCCAAGAGGAAGGATGGTGATGATTGGCAGCAGTGGCACGGTCAGTGGAACCGTCGCTCTTGGGACTGGGGCTCTGGCAGCTAGGGCTGGGAGCGATGGCGCTAGGCATGAATGAGCCAAGTCTCATCAATGGAGCGGGCATCAACTCATTAGCAGTTGATTCATAACAACCATTGTAACATATGTGTGCTACCTTTGCAGGGAATTGCTCCCAGCCAAACCTGTCTTTTGAAGGCGAGGGTGAATAAAATGCACAATGAGGCCATCTTTCTGCAGCCTTGGTTGCTAGCGCCAAGACACCAGCGTCGTTGCTGTGCCCTGCACAAAGCCTTGTGCACTTGTAGCTCGCGGTTCAAAGCAGGTGTTGCAGCTTAACGGTAGCTTCTATAAACATGCCTTGTGTCCCCTTCGACTTGGCCGTGTTTGCAGATCTTGCCGCGAGCTTCCACGAAGGCTAAGCGGCCAAACCGAACCATCCTAGACAGGCTTTCTGGTTCGAAGCTGAACCCGTGACACGGGCCCCTACACCCTCTAGTCGTTGATGTTCGGGAGAAAACGGGTTGTTACTGCTAATTAACGCGCCTCCAACGTCATCAAAGCCAACGCGGGTACCACACTCAGATCTTGCCAGGTATGCAACTTCTGTTTTGAAGAGTCTCCGCGGTGGCGCGGTGCTTCAGGACTTTCCGCAGGCAGCGTGCAAGGGATTTGCGAGCGTTTTCTTTTGAGATCTCTTGGGTGTGCAACATGCTGGCAGTATTTTGACAAGCGAGTTCAGCACAGATGAACCATTGGCAAGTGATGTCAAATGCAGTGGCAGGGTTTGGCAAATATGGTGGGAGATGAGGCAAGCGATTGTTGCTAGCAGACCACAGACAGGTCAAACCTGCAATTGAAATGGCTGATGTTTGCAAGCAGAGCCGCTTCCTACCTGGAACTTTCAAGGAATAATCATGCCATGGCTTTCTGCAAGATCAGGCAGGCAAGACTTTGCGTTTTCACGTGCACACAAAACACAATGAATGTTTTGTGATGTTTGCCCCACGCATGTGAGCTGAGAAACTGCAGTTGGTTCTTGATTGATCAAATCCATGGTTTTTTTTTCCCTTCGCCGTCAGCTGGTGCTGGCCTGATGCTGCCTAGTTCAATCAACAATGTACTGTATGTACCAACATTGTCGTACGTGAATGTTGGCAAAGCCAACTTGACAAATGACTATGTTGCACACGACCACAGGTTGGTTGTTTGGTTGAAGCTGACAGCAATGTGCAAAAATTGTTTCATCATATTTCATGGTGTTTGTTTGATTTGGAGTTTTTGTTGCGCATGGAAAGTCGAGCCGTGGTCATATGTAATTACACAGGTTCCAGATGGCAATGCAGGCCCCTGCGAGACTGTCAGAGTGCAGGTAAATTTTTCCTTGCACTTTGTTGTCTTCCAGCGTGCGCCTGCACTGTCACCCAGGATAGAGCATCTCCGCAAAAAAATGTTTTTTGGGGAGTAAGGGGGGGGCAGGGCAGGCAACAAATTGGAGTCATTCGCTTTTTGCATGTCGGCTGAAGGACAAAACAACACAAACAAGAAGATGACATGACATGCATGATGTTGATTGCACTGACTTTTAGATTCTAGAGTGCTCATAGTACGGTATTTCACGTATTGCCAAGATGTTGATTTTCCATTGAGCGAACAACGTGACATTTTGTGATTCAAATTGATCTCTCAGTGTAGCAGTGTAGCAGTTCACGTGTCAACATTAGAATTTTAAAAATTCTTCCGGATGCGAGTCCAATGGGCCGTGGCAGCGCGCCGGAAACTCATTGGTGCAAGTCGTGCAAGGAGCATAATATAGTTTTACAGTCGAAAGGTAGTTGCTAGTCATTTTCATCAGGTCTTTGTTCACACTAGAACTGTAGTCCACTATCCAAATTTCGTAGTTTTATTTGAGAACATGTGTTTTGCATCTCAGGCAAAACACAAACATCTCTGAAAAAAACAATTATGTAATTGTCGACAAGTTCCCTCAGTTGTTGTTGACAGATCCTGTGGTCCGAAATATTCAACCTTTCAATCGCAGAAACTCTGCGATGTCCAAATGCTCTCAAATGCTCCCAGGCAGAGGCCCGACCGCACGGCGAAGAAGGTGCAGAGTCAATTTTGTAAAGTTTTGCAAACCTGTTGTTTTGTTGGTTTGGCAACATGTCACTTGCTCTTCTGTGGCGTGCATCTCTCAACCCCAATGTGCCGGCAAGGTAAACAACAAGCCTTGCACTAAGCCTGGACAGAAACCAAATCTGCGGAAGGAGACCGGCAATCTTCCACTGCGGAATCTCAGACGATGTAGAACTGTTTTCCATCATCATTGGTAGACAAATGCATATTTTTCGATCAATCCTGCTTGTGGGGGTCCACTTCCAAGCTCCACCAAAGTGCTCAATCAACACCAGCACGCTGTAGTGTACTAGACGGATAGATCATTGAGAGTATCATTGAGCTATTGTTTGCTGCTAGGCTAAGCCTGATCATTTTCCATTTCACATTGACAAGTGATTTGTGGAAAACTGTTCATCGGGACAAGTTGAATGGTGTTCTTCCATTGTTGCTGCTTTTCGAGAATATGGATTTCAAGCGTTTGGTTCGTCAAGGGAGGTTGGTCTTTAGGTTTGTGCAGATTTTGTTGGTTAATTACTTGAGGTTGGATAGTTGTTTTTTTTTTTTGTATAGCGCAACAGTCGACACCTGACCATGGCCCATTGACTATGCATGAAGGATGCTGCGTCCTTCCTCAAGCAGCGATTGAATCAGAAGGCCTCAAGCTTGCAGTCCATGGGTATTGGTCAACTGCATTTCAACCATGGTTGCTGTGTTTGCTGACCAAATTCAAACGTATGTTTTGTGGCGCTGGTATGTTTTCAAGAACAGATAAGAAGGGTTGCAGTCAAAAGGAGGAGCTGAAGGGTATTGGCATTGGGCATCATTCATGCTGTAAGATCCTAGGCAAAGAGTTGGACGAGTGGCCCAAAGAGAAAACTGGATGACTCCGAGTGCATACCCTTGATCATGACTCATTATTCATTAAAGACACTGAGTGTTTGTGGCTATTTCGCACGTCACACAAGGATATGAAGGATATGAATTTAATGACATATACTAGACTATATACACTGTACTTCAAAAAACAAAGCTTCCTATGATCAACCAACGAGAAAGCTTTGTGGCTTTGTGGCTTCACTGCCGATATGGCCGGCGTGTAGTCTTAGTCCACTGCAAGGGTCAAGGCAACTGGGCCGAATCCCTGGAAGAAAACGAGCTTGAAGCTTTGATGCCAAGAATGGAAAGTTCAAGTTCACACAGGAAGAGAGAAGAAGATGCAGTACAGATGTAGTATAGTTAAATTACATCTCTCTTGTTTGGTCGTTTCGAACTTGCCGAGGAAGGTTTCAGAGAGCGGAAACAATGAGGCAAGTGGCCCTTTACAGCGCAGTGTGGAACGAGTGCACTCGCCGCGAAAAGACAGTTGCAGAGAAGGCGCTCGCCGCGAGCCCTGGGAGGCCCTTTGTGTCATCAGCCACGAGCCCTAAAAGCCTTTTGACGAGGGTTGAGAGCGCCAAAATTAGCTTGCAGAGGAGACTACTTTTTAGACTCTACGCATTTATGGTATTTATTTGGAGACCTTGTGGTCACGAGATCTACATCGTCGGATTTGCCGAGGAATTGGGCAAGTGTGAGATTGGGCGCGCGCGATGCACATGGCCTGGGCTGAAGACAACGTTTGGAGTGCTAAAGTGTGAATTCAAGCTAACCGCTGAACTCAGCATGGACAGCTTGACTAAGAACGCGGTTGAAATACCGCTTCGAGACGATCGGTGGGCGCTGCCTGTGTGACGATTTCAGTTGCTGTGGCGGCAACCGGCTCAGCGAGAAGACATGCGCACATGTTGCGTTGAGATGACCGGCGAGCGCTGCCTGCGCGATTACATTGAATCAGGACGAGGTTGCCAATTTGCGGTCCGATCTGGTTTACAGAAACAAAGTGTAGATGCACCGGGCGGCTTGAGGTGTCGCATATACCTACTATAATTGCTATATATATAATATTAAGTAAATAGATTTATTAATACATATATTTCACTTTAGACATATTAACTGTATATATTATAACATTTTTTTGGTTGGGGATGGCAAAGTAACTACATGGTCCCAAGGTGCATGTAATCTTTGGGTAGATGCAGGCCCTTTAATAACCTAACGTTTCATTGCTGCGCTGATGGCTACATGTTCAGTTAGTACGACGGTGTTTGCTGATTCTTGCAGGCATTTGGCAGAGTTGAGCAAGTCATGAAGGGTTTCAATGCACATTGACAAGAGCAGTTTGAGGTGAAAAACCTTCAGTCGGTTTCTGCCGGCGATGATGACGACATGGGCTTGGAGGAGGTGGAATTTGGGATTCCCTTTTTGGTGGGATTACACGAGTGTGTCCACATGTTGGAAGATCAAACACAAGAACAGTACAGCTCTCTAAAGCCTCAAACAGTGTGTATCCAAGTAAAAACCATCCTTAGAGGCAACGACTTGGAACGATCAAATCATTATTCATAACCATGCATGGAAGACACACTAAATGCTGCATTTGTCACGTAGGCAAGACATCTTTTTCAATCGAGGCAGTTTTGAAGTACGTGTCACTCCGCTTCACTTGTAAACACGTTTTCTATTTTTTTCATGTAATTGACAGATCTTAGATATGACTGAAATACCAAGTTGTAGAACTACTCCAGTTGCACTTCGCAGCGATGAACCTGTTTTCACTACCTTCATTTCAACAACAACTGTTTCTCTGTTTGACTCACCCGACACAATGGCAACACCATTTGATGTGCATAGTGTGGTGTTACATACTCATTCCACCACTCTCTCGCTTTACTGACGTCGGAGTGAACGCTGAGTCAAGAGAAAAGCAAATGCCTTCGAAACCTGACCTGGCCGCCTGCAGGCCACAGACGGCGTGAAGTCCTTGGAAGAGATCCAAATGGAGGCTTCACGGCGAGGCAAGCCACGACTTTCCAACGTTTCGCCGAAACACGGAACGTAAAACGATTAAACAAAAAGGCTTTAAGCAACCTAATAGCGATGGCCTCCAACCTAAGAGCCACTCTAAGAGCCATGGTTTTCCATGGTTTTTCCTTTGACCTGATGAACTCGCCGACAGCACTGTGTCATCATAATTTACGATCCATGAAATCGAAACGAAGCTGCAGGCGAGGAATTTGCGGAACAGCGCGTGGTGCCTGGATGGGCTTCGACGAGTCATGATGGCTACTATGGCTACCCAGCGAGACTACTAAATAGGCCTTTTCCAGGCAGAAACGCATTGAAAAGCAAGCATGTCTCATCACCTCTGATTAAATAGGTGCTATATTCCAACAGAACGCAGTTGGCAAACACATGCAACAACTATTTCTTATTTTTTTGCTTGGACTCGACATCATTTCATAGGGCCGAAAAGACTATTGATTCGTTTCGATGATGTTAAATTTCCCCTGAGTTTGAATCCGCTGACCGCACCAACACACTCGATCACTGCTCCGCACATGAAAGCCTTTCCATGGACAACGAGAACCAAGGATGGCAGCTTGCACCAGTTTTTGCAGAAAGCTAAACATGGGCCTAGGCGAGCTTCAGACCTTTGATTGATTTTGATTGTAACCCCAGCTCCGACTTGCATGATTTGGCAATGGCAGCTATTCCAAGATAAGCCAAGGTGAAGTCGGTCAGGAGGAGGACTGGCAACCTGGCTGGGCATGCTGTTGGGGCACTTTTTTGTGGTTCTTGCGTCTTGCACAACAGAGGATGAATATTGGAATTTTAGTGGAAGTTTCTGAGGATCCGAGGACATAGTTGATTTGACAAAATTAGATAGATTCCATTAGCATTTCAAAACAGCATCATTGGTCGGCCAAACAACATTTTAGAGTATTTTAGTCGTTCTTGTCATGTCAATAGCTTCTGACTCTCAACTTTGATTGGTCGCGTTGCAGGCTGGACTAACCAATGCCAACCGGGAAGCCGAGAACACGTCCCGGATGCCCAATGCGCAAGAAACATAGACACCGTAACGCAGATGATACACACGGCGGCAGCAACGAAGCTTAGGAGTATTAGTTGTAGACAGAAGATGATCGTTTACTTGAGTTGGTCGGACATTGCAAAGTGAAGACCCCTTTCCTACACTCCATCCATCCGAACTCCATCCAAC